TTATTGGTATTGCTATTGAATTATTGGTATTGCTATTGAATTATTGGTATTGAATTATTGATATTGGTATTGGTATTGAATTATTGGTATTGATATTGAATTATTGGTATTGGTATTTGTCTTGAATTTTTGGTATTGATATTGAATTATTGGTATTGATATTAGTATTGAATTGTTGGTATTGGTATTGGTATTGGTATTGGTATTGAATTATTGGTATTGGTATTAGTATTGAACTATTAGTATTAGTATTGGTATTGGTATTGAACTATTGGTATTGAATTATTGGTATTGAATAATAGTAATTCAAAGTATTGCAGATTTGAAATAGAAATAGGAGATTAGAATCGAGAGAATCTTTTCACTTTGTTGCATGATTTTCGTATCTGTAATTATGATATGCGAAACATTTTAAATATATATTTTTTTTTTATTTAAACCATCAGACCAAGGATTTGTCGGAAGAGGCATTATTGTCGAAACACGCGGTGGAAATAGTCAGGGATTTGCAAAGATTAGACGGCATGGAGGGTGATTATGAGGAGGGAAGTGGCAGTGGTCCAGGCAGAAGGAAAACCATAAGAAATTTGGAAAAGAGCCGTAGAAAAACTCAGGCAATCAATACGCTCGATGTTGCTTTCAGGCGACGATTCTTCAATGACGGCAATGGTACGTAAATATATTTTGCACTTATCTAATAGAAACTGATAGAACGAAGAGAAATTTGGAGTGAAACACGTGAGAAAAAAAAAATACTTATAAATATTGAAGAGGCTTAAAGTGAAGAATTATAAATGATAAAAGAGATTGAAAAATATTCAAGAGTTTATTGCAATTTGAATTAAGACAAAAAAGACGGAGAATGAATTAACGAAAAGTATAAGTATCTTTTACAAGTACTTGTTCTTTTAATTTTCTGTTATATAAAATTTACCTCTCTCACGCTCATAAAGCCTCAGATCATAATAATTACTGCAACATTTTTCAATCCCTTTCATAGTTTTATTTACAAACGGCAACGTAGAAAATTTAAATCCGTGTAATAATGTACAGACATTTCCATATGATGTGGAAAAAATATATAAAGTAAAATACTGGCTCTAGTTTTTTTTTCTTTTTTTTTTTTTTTTTTTGGAGAGTACAAACAAACCTTCAATTTCTTCTATTTTATTATTAATATTTCCACGTTTCTATCTATTCAGCAGAATATATTGTGGAAAGTATTCAACAAATGTTCACGAAACATCTTTACTTTACGATGCACGACCACGTTCCTTGACTAATGTTACAATTTAGGTCTGCCAAGGAACATGTCGACTAGAAGGTCCGCAAAGGCTTTTAAAGCTTTCGAGGGGCGTAGGAACAGCATAATGGCGATGAGAAGGAAATCACAGATGCAAACGTTAGGGGCGAATAACATTTACGGCGTGGCGGGCAATCCTTTAGGGATACAAGGTCGCCCTTCAAGGAGCAGTCAAATTTCTGTAAAGGACGTGTTCGAGGGACATGCCAATTCCGCTTACGAGCCCGACGAGAATACCGGAAGTAGCCTCAGGCTTCACAATCTAGGTCAAAGTACGTGGAGAGAAGCGAACACTAATATCTGATAAGGACGAACTCTTCACGAAAGAATTAGGTAATCGTAATTACGAAATGTTGAGATTGAATGATTCGTGTCGTTTGACACAGTGACAGGTATAAACTTCTTTTTAGTATTTAATATTTAATAATTATTAAGATCTAGTCTAATTAAATCTCTATCGTTGCTTAGAAGAAATTCAGTATTGTTTAATGGTGGTGGTTAGAATATTATTTCGTTCTTTATGTTGTAATACGCTGTAGCTAGTAATTTGGACAACAAATTCACTTCTATCGTATACGAAATGATTGAGCGTTTAATTTAATTGGTATTTTGATTAATTATACTGCTTATTATGCCATCGCTGTGTCATGATTCGCGTGTATATTGAATTACATGTTAATATTTCTGAATGATTGATGCAACGAGATAGATTGGAATTGATCGATCGATCGAGATGTTAAGAAACAGGTATTTTTCAGGTGAACAACGATAACCATGAAAGAGGTTTCACGAGGGACGAACAATGGTCCTCACTTGCTGTTAAGCACCACAGCAATATAATTGATTCCCATTTTAAATTATATCGTGCTATTTAAGCGCTTCCTTTGGCAATTATCCATTCATTGTACGATGCTACATGATGAAAGACCTGAATAGAAGAGTGCGAAAAGACTGCCGCCGAGTAGACTAATTTATGATGAAGTGAAATGGAACAGGGCCGTCTTTAAACTCTCTATTTATTTATTAAAAATAAAAGGAGAAACCCAGCAGGAAGTGTCTTTCCCCTTTGAAAAAAAAAAAATATATATATATATATAAAAGAAACAACTAATTAAGTAAGAACAAAAAGAGAAAGAAGATTCTAGAAGAATAAAAATTAATATTTATTTTCATCGCCGATAATTTAGACACAACGAGCCGAGGACTTTCATGGAATCGAGTAATTGCGAGTTAAAGACAGTCCCGGGGGAAAAACGTTTCTTTGTCTTTATCTTTATTCTTTCTGTTTTCTTTTCTTCTCGTGATTAGAAATTTAAGATGAATGAACTGACCGGTGAGTAACGATATTCGTCAGGGCAGCTATCGCTGTACGATACGACTTTAGAGAATAATTCTCTATTTAGGTGTTAATCGAACGTATTAGCTCGTGTCGTATCGAACGAGTGTTATCACTATCACTCGTACACGTGTGTGTGAGACAGTAATCACAGCGACGACGTTTACATTCCTTTCGTTTTTCTTTCTTTTTTCTCTCTCTCTCTCTCTCTCTCTCTTTTTGTAAACGCGAAATCCCCGTTTATACAGACACACTCATTGTATTTAATATAGATATACAATATCCTTTTTGTACATATCGCGTGCGTATCGTTCGTGTTAATGTTAAGCGCTGTAGAAAAATCGTTGTTGGTTGTAAATGAAATAAAGTTCGAACGATCAACACCCAGCTCTGAATTCATTTCATCCAATTGTTTCTCTCACGTACATCATCCTTGGTATATTCACGCTTTCTTGTTGCATTTGAATTAAATGTCGTACATATTGTTCAACGTGGTCGATGATTCAGAAGTCGTAGATCAATTTTGTGATGAGCGAAATCATAAAAATCATTGGAATCATGGTATCAAGTTTTACTTTTCTCTTTATGACAGAATCAAATCATCTTGTAAAATTCTAATTGCACTTATATGTTTATAACATCATTTTTGGTTTCCAATTGTTTCGTATAATAATTTCGAATTCGATCAAATTGCCACTCGAAGCAATCAACTGGAATCTTATGTTCGTACATGATAACCGATTCCAAATATATACGAAGAATCTGTGGAAATTATTTACAATAATTAACCATTGTCAAAATGAAATATACCAAAATCTCTTCTTTCGTTGAAAGAAATGTTAAATATTACCTGCTTTGTCATAATGCTTCAATGATCAATAAATGATCAAAAAAAATATTAATTGTTTCACAGAAAGTACGCGATTCTACAGAAAGTTACTGAAGATAGATGACTGA